ATTGATTTTAAAAGGAAATGTAATTAAATGTCAATTGATTCAAACGTGATTTTAATTCGATTCTAATTGATTTTAAAAGGAATTTTAATTGAATTTCAATTGATTCTAACGTGATTTTGATTCGATTTTAATTGATTTTAGAAGGAAATTTAATTAAATTTCAATTGATTCTAACGTGATTTTCATTCGACTCTAATTGATTTTAAAAAGGAATGTTAATTAAATCTCAATTGACTCTAACGGGATTTTAATTCGATTTTAATTGATTGTAAAAGGATTTTCAAGGCGGCCCTACTAAATCCTTTCAATAAATATGCCCCCCTAATAATAAATAATTTCTGACCTCCCGGATTATGTATTATTACGGGGGGGAAGGGGGACGTCGTTTATTATTAGGGGGAAGCGATTACCAAAAGTGTTGCTCCCACCATGCGAATGAGGCTTGGATTGAGCTTCAGGAACCACACGGCTGAGCAGGAGCAAGCCCGTCGGTCACTGCGTGAATAGCCAAGCATGCTAATCGCGACAGGGCGGATCACGTGACCATTGCACGCTATCTTGCCTCCTTCCAGAAAGGAGCCGGGCCATGGCAGCATGCTGCACAACGCCGACACCGGCACGGGCAATACCTAGACCAGCTTCACAAACAGCATCAGAGCGAGCCCTTTGACACAGCAAGCTGGGCATGCAAAAGCATTAGGTCAAATGACTGCCTACCGGGGTCGCGGCTAAAAAGCACGAGGCCAAAGGCTAGGACAAGCTCCGTCCTTGGCGATCATGACGATCGCAGGCCAGCGCAAAACAAAGAGGCTTCAGTCAAGTCTATCTAACAACACTTGAGTAGCGTTTTTGTGGTTGAGCCCAGCAAGCTTGTATTCCATACTCTTTATACAAATTGCTATACCCCAATACCCCAAAGGAGGATATAGTCTTACTTTATATTGGGGTCTGTTGTATCCCCAAATTGAATACTACTCGCTTGTCTCGCTTGGGGCTGAATTTGTCCAGGTCTGCTGATCGAGGGACAGGTGTGGAGCCGCGTCGATTGCCTGGATGCGGGGCATTGTTCTTCCAAACTGGCAAGCTGCTAAGAGCGGGCAGTCATGTGAGCGGGTGTCTTCAATATCTTTACATCAAAGATGTGCTGCCGCCAGGAGGCTCGTAGCTCAAAGCCAGCCACCAGTACGAGTTGCCCCACAAAATCGCCCAATGGCACTAGGACTTGGACCAGCCCTGAAATGCCGCGCGGCAGGGGTGGAAGGACAAACACAAGGTTTGTTGCAGGGGGGGCGGAGTTTGTTGCTGTCTTATGCCACTTCCTACAATATTTGTATGGCCAAACTTTCACGCAACCAGCAGCCAAGCCAAGCACTACACAACACAACGAAAGCATGATAAGGCTCACAATTGTTCCAAGTCACGTTCGGACATAGTGAAGGCCATCCCCCACAACACCTGGCTGCGTCAAGGAGGCAACTCTTTGCAAAAGCTGCAGCTGCCTGCAGGCTTTCCAGCTGACGGGAAATGAACTGCTTGCGTCATGATACTGGCGCAACAATTGCTCCCAGCTGTGGTGAGGCCGCAATCAATGAATACCTGGGCTGTTGCACGCTCAGCAACATTCGCCTCTTCCTCGATCAATAAACTGAGGCCCTCCTACCTTGTCGTGACTGTAGTATCTAAACCATTGGAAGCCGATTGATCTCCAGCCACGGCACAGCAGCGCTGACATTCCCTGCAGGTGGGTGCTGACTCTTGCCGGCAAAAGATGCTACATCAGCATTCACAGAGAGTTTACAAAGAAGGCACACAAGACAAGAACGCCAGCAAAGACCGAGCTGCAGCCTCCTCCTCCAAAAGCGGCGCAGCTGGTGCAAGCGCATTCTTGCTGCTGTGGGCGCCTCAAACTACCAGTCGTCCCTTAAAACAGCCGTTCTTGTACCATCACTTCAAGTACGTACCCTCGCGTTCTCGTAGGCGATTGCTGAGGCACCAAGGCCGATGAGAAGCACAAGTAGGACACAAAGTCCGGCTGGAACACCTGCTCACACATGTTGCAACGAGACGCTTTTTGCCCTCACAACCCACAAATTTCGCACTCTTGCCATTGCGTAATGAAGAGCTGAGGATAGATTGCCTCCACTCCAGCTCTGCACAAGAGGTTCGTGAGGTTCTCCACCATCGGAATCCACATCCCAGAAACGCATAGGTTACCACCGACAGGCAAAGATTTTGTGCTAAACATGTCCACTGTGTGTGCGTGGTGATGATCATGAATCATGATGTATTTGCTGTACAGGATGCTCTGATAGTTGCACGCCATGTTCGCACGGCCCCTCTGCATTCACATAACTACTTCCCGTGCTGCGGGCTCTTCCTGCAAAGACGAAAATCCCGCAGTCTGCAGGCAATGTGCTGACACAGGATAAGTGGCAGGTGACTGCTGGCCGACTCAACATCTTGTCGTGTCATAAGAGAAACCAAGACCACGGCTTTCCGTCTCAAAGGCGTAAGCCCGCACAACTCCTGAAAATCAAGTGCTCAGCAATTACGCACGACCAGACACTCCTTCTCAAATACACGTTGGCTCCTTGAGGGCAAGAAGGACCTCTTCATCGCTGTCCACCTGCGCAGAAGAGGAGCTTTGCTTGGGCGGCAAGAAAATGAACTCAGCCTTGCCACGGAGTCTCAGCTCCATGAAAAGCAGGGCAACGGAAGGCAGCCGTGCGGCATCCAGCCTGCAGGTCGCATCAGTAGGAAGCATTCCAGAGCATCCCGGTCAACTTGCACATGTCTGAATCCTGCAGGGACCACGCTCAGCACTTGGAAAACCCAAATCCTACAGATTTCAGATATATGTTGGGCATGTGCTCATTCGTAGCCGTAGCCCACCCTAAACGGCGAACCAACGCTGGCTGAGGAGGGACTTCGCAAGGTGAGCGCCTGCAATCAGAGGAGGTGATTGCGTTCCACATCACCATGACGCACTGCAAGAAGCGTACTCTCGTGGAAGCCACAAGAAGGCAGGCATGCCTAATACATCCTGGGAGCACAGGAAGGAGCCTTGCGATGCCCCCCCGAGGCCGGCCACCAGAAGCTGCCCCTGGACAAAGTCCCGTTGGTGGCTTCAACATGCTGTTGACTGGTCGTGCTGCCTCGCTCCAAAGCATCAGTCCTCTCAGAGATCATCCGGTCCAACTCCTGGGATCTTGTTTTGGGACTACATACCAGAAGCAAATAGGCCTTGGCATTGCCTCACGAAACTGTACCAGGGCAGCATCGGAGGACTGCCTTGACGTTGGTGCATGGCACTGAGATTCGAATGGCAAAGACCGAGGCATCAGGCCTTTGGCGTCTGGGGGAAACCGCCCTGGGAGCAGCAAGAGGCCTTTTTCCCCCCCATCCCCTGGCTCCCTTCCCAGACGAAATGGCTCACATGTCTTCCCTTCTACGCGCACACGTTTTTGTCCCCCTGCCTTATGCACGAGTCCCGTTTTGATCCTGATAAATGTCTTTAATTGCGTTTGCCCCGGCATTCATGTATTTCCTCCTACTTGCACACGGTCAGACACTTCTACCTCTTTACGCGGTTGGTTGTTGCTTAGAAGTCTTATTATGCTATCCTACCCTCGTTCCTTATGCACGAGGACCCTGTAGCTTTTGATGGTTTAGCCCGTCCCCTTGTTCCTTCAGGCTGTTTGCTTCGACCATCTGAGATTTTACATTTCTCGTGAGGTCGTTTTCTTGTTTGGCAGGTTTTTGTAGTTTCGGATGACCCTCTCTTTGGCATATATGTGGTTAGTCACTGCTGTTTTTCTCGTCCTCTTTCTCTGTCCTCCCGTCCCCCTTCTTTCTCCACTCTTCTTGCGTTCTCTGAGCCCAAAGAAGTGAGAAGCCAGACTGAGGGTCTCTTTAGGCCGAAACTCACGACCGACGACGACGAAATGGCTCTGTAAAGAGGGTGAGGGCAATCGTTCGCCCATACCTGCAAAGGAACCGTTGCAGGCATTTGCTTGCATTTGAAGGCTTGAGATTGGTCCAGCAGCGTTGGGCCTGCATGTCCGTAAAATGACTCACCTCAGTTGCATTAGCACGGTATAATGGGGAGGGGCACCTTCTTCCCCACACCTTGCCCTGCGTAAATTGAAAGGTCCCATTGGACCCCAAACCAAAACTAAATCGTTTTACAGGGTTCACCCTTCCGCTGTCCAATCTTGAATCCGGGCAGCTATGAGAAAGCAGCTGCAGCACATATACCTTTCAGGCACGCATTGCAAACAACAACCCTTGCATATGTGAAGCATGTATCATGCAATTGTCCACCCCGCATCCCACTTCGATGCACTCTGCGCGTTGTATTCTCTCCTCTTGCCCCTCAGCACCGCGGGTGAAATGTGTTGATACGTTCTACGGTCGACGTTTGGAGCATTTACACTACCTGGGTGACGGCTGTTTTGGCTTTTTGGTGTTTAGCCCTGAGGGGAACTCCACAGAAGGCCTCGTCAGGGCTCCGTACGCCCCAGTCGACTCCTAGGGTTATGGGCTGGTGCCTAGGGACCGGTTTCAAGGTTTGGGTTTCTGAGGTTCAGCTTTCGAGTGCTCCGCATGTCCGCCAGCCCACCTCGAGCCAGGCCGAGGCGGCGTGCTGTAGCGCTACTATTCCGAATAACGGAAAATCGGAGAACCGAAGGAGAAAAAATGGTGGGTGGGATTTCATAGATGTGTACACCCGGTCTAGGCTGCCCAACGTGGAATCGTAGCGCATGGCCAGGAGATCTCGGGCCTGAGTGCATGGGATTTATCCACAAGCAACAAGCAACAAGGACCATGAGAGTCACAGCAACAGATCAGTCTACATGGCGGCGAAGACATCTCCGCTCTTCCCTATTTCATATGGAATGAAAGCATTCCGACATGGCTTGCAGAAGCCGCGCTTGCCCAACAGTCTCCATCAGAGCAGATCCTTCCTACTTCCTACAAGTTGGCTTGTTTGGTGCTGCAGGGGCCTGCCTCAGGATCTGCTACAAGCATCTCCCATTGTCGCTCCAGATCTGCCTGAGGCAAACCCGCAGCTCTCAAGAACTGGGCACTACTACAGTCAGAGCTCACTATATCTATTAATCTTGCAAGCAGCTCCACTAATGGTCTGATTGTGGCTGCTTAGGGTTGCACAGAAGACTGCAGCCGAATCTCAAGGCAGAAAGAAACGCTGACGGGTTCAACTTCAGCTTGATTCCTACAAATCGCATAATCACATGGAGAATTAAAGAAGCCCGTGGGCATTCCCGCAAGCCAGAAGTCAGAAGCGCAAAAGACATAAGAGCATGCAACCTAAGCTCCCCCCAATATCTACCCAACCATCCCTATATAACCCCTAGAAAATCCCTATAAAATAGTAGTTTCCATTTGATTCCAATATAAAGCTGAAGCCATATTCTATACACTTAAGGGG